AGGCCAGGCGCGCACACCCACACTCTCACGTATGCCGTGCTCAATGCTGGCAGCGCCTGGCTCCATTGTCCCCCACTGCCTACAAAACAGAGAGGTCACAGACCGGCACCAAGGTAACCGAGCAGAGCCTTTGAGCTCCTGCAGAAGAGATTCATGCTCAGATGTTGCCCCCTCAGGGTCCTTTGCTGCAGACTCGCTCCCTGCCTCCTCCCACGCTTGAGGATATACAAAGATGAAACCCAGCTCATCACAGACTAAGCTAAGGTTGAAATACAAACAGGGGAGCACATAAAAAGGGTATCCCTGGGTGGAAAGCTGTCAGAGGAGAAGCATGAAGAAAAGCCCAGGAATTGAGCTGGATTTATTGCAGCTATACTGGTAACTGCATGGGTGGGGGCTGGCAGAGCCCTGAGCAGCCACTGCACCCCGAATACACCAGCTATTAACTACATGGTTTGCCAAAGTTACTGCATGTAGCACAGCAACGCCAGTGTCTGCTAAAAAGAAGGCAGCTGAACGGTAGTAGAGATACTGCAATGAAGCCACCAACCTCACACACCCATATGAGACGAACGCAGGCGCCAGGATGCAGAGGGCAAAGCAGAGCCCCAGTTAACGCTGCTCTGCAAAGCTCCTCGTAGGAGTCAGCGTCTGCATGGCAGGGGTCTTCTCTGTGTACGGTAGCACAACTATTAGGCTGTGAGCCAAGAGAAATCAATAGGGCATGCTCTGCTCAACACAAGTGGAAATGGAGGGATATTTTGGTGATGTATTGATCCACCAGAAGAGGCACTTATACGGCAACGCATTCCAAAAAAGAGTGGCCATTACTCCCTTCATGATATATTTCCAATCTAATCAAATAAAATGCTGCAGCAGAGAAATCCTGTCCTCTATAAACAGTCTGTTAAGACCAGTCAGGACACCATGAGACAAGAGCACAGCTGTAAACCTTGATAACCACTGGCTAGACTGGCTAACGGGACGTGTTGCACATGCCCCAAGCTGTATTAGAGAGAAGGGGCATCTTCTGCACCCAAAGACTATTTTCTGCAGGTGAGTTTCACTTCAGGAGCAGGTTACATCTCAATTAGACCTCTGAATATTAGAGAGAAAACTGAATTTCCTCCTTTATAGCCCAGTGGAGGAGAATTACAGAAGCATCAATAAATCATTATTTCCTCTCTCCTTGCTAATAACATGAGCAAACAAAGGTTTTCCCCAGAGCCACCTGCCAATTTCCTCCTGCCCCCCTCTGCAGAAGGGGACTTCCCACGTGACCAGGGGTAGAGACCGATCTCAGCTCTGCATGTCTCGCCTCTCCTGAGGCCGAGCGGGGAGCATGCCTTTCCCAACACCAAAGACAAGCTTTCCAAAGCGTTCTTCTAGGCCGTCTCGCAGGTACTTGAGCATGGCCAACCCAAGGTACAACCAGGCTGAGGGTGCAGGCACGCACGCACAGACGAGGGTGCGTTTACCCCTGCAATTCCCTTGGCTCTTGTCTCACCAGGTTGGAGGACGCTGCCCTAGGAGATGTCTGTCCAAAGAGAGCACACGCACTGAGTGCACTGCACATCTCCACCTTCCCCACTAGAGAGGGATGAGCTGAGAAGAGAACTGAGCTTTTTTTTTTTTTTTTAAAAAACCTAAGACTGCCAGTCTCCTGACTATACTGCTAGCACAATCTTCTCTCCTGCTTTCCCAGAGCTACCTTAAATATCATCCCCCTCTCTCTTCGTTTTGCGTTCTTCCACACATATCACCCTACTTGGCACCCTACTTGGTGCCTGCGTTGCTTAAATGCAGTCACACAGAAGAACTTGCTCAACAGTCTAGAATAATCATACCTTTTAGAAAAGCATTTTCTAGACAAACAGGTTGACAGCTGCACCAGCACAGCAAAGACAGGCTGGACCACCCCATGTGTGCGAGACTCCTACCTTTACGGAAGTAGGCCCATTAACATACGGCAGGCCTTTCTTTGCCTCTGCAGGGGGCTGATCCAAGAAAACATGCCGTTTCTTCCTCATCTCCCCAGTTTTTAGTGATCAAAGGCACTTGCTCTTCTGCACGTGCAGGAATCACCGCCCTCATTTCAGCAGCTGCTTTTGCAGTAACAGTAGTGCAGAAGTAGGGCTGTTGATTTTCACTGTCATGTCATTGCTCAGGCTCTCACAACATGACAACAAAAGACAGACAAAGTTTTGTCTCCACTGACAGTTCAGTATTCATGCAGCTGTGCCGACATGGACCACTGCTGAAATCAGGGTATTTATCCTGCCGGCGTACACAGGCACAAACTGGTTCTTTGTTACTCAGCTCAGAGATGAGCACCACCTCTTAGGTCACATGCAGCGTGTCCCCAGTCATGGCCAGATTGTGAGGGCACTGCGTTCCTTCCAGATTTACACGATTGCTGCAACAATCTACAAAAACCAGCCAGCCTTGGTTCTGCCAGGGCCCTGCCACTGTGGGCCAACAGAGCCAGCTCCCCTTCCTGAACCACAGAGCGCAAACAAACAAGCTGGGTTCTATTTTTTCTGTTTTGCTTTTGGAAATGCAGTTCCTCTCTCTTGCCCTTTTGGCAGTCCCAATCAGGGATTTTTAGCCTCCTCGCTGTTGGTTAAGAGATGCACGTTAATGTATCCTTGCCAATATGAAGATACTGTGCCCTGCAGCACTTAAAAATCCAGGACAAAAATACTACTAAACAACACGTGCTTACTGAGCAGATGCTCCAGACAAACCTGCAGCACCTCTTACTAGCTAGCCAGCAAACAAAGACATGGCTGAGCTCTTCGGACAAAGATGTAGCCCAGAAACAGATCTTGAATTCCTGCTGATACGCTATAGCGAGTTTCTAACAGATCAGTGTTTTCCTCCTGTATGCTGACATACCCACTCAAGCATACAGTGGCCATGAATGAAAAATGAAGAGAAAGAATAGTCGGAGAAAAAGGCTTAAATTGTACAAATCATGCTAAAGCAAAAGCCAGAGTATCCGGTCAGGGACAGTACAGGCAAGAGTGGCATTTGGACTAGACAATATCCTAAAGGCAGCAGAGGGATGCACAGCAATCAAACTTCAGCTAGTCAGTCTGCAGTCAGAGGCTGACTTCTCGCTCGGGAGCAAAGAGAAGGTGGCAGAGAGCGACCAAGAGACATCGAAATGCATGCAACCCACCACTGTATGCTTCTACCTCCAAAGGCAGAAACGCTTCATCCAGAGTCTCTCCAATCATGCTCAGACCCTGTTTACCGGCCATGATGATCCACTGCAGCTGATCAAAATCAGCCACTGATTTCTTCACTGTGCAGTTCTGTGCCCTCCAGTAACCAGAACACGGCTCTTAGGGCAAAATGTGCTGAGAGAATAAAAGCATAGGGACAAACAAAGGTTTTTGAAATAAAACAGTCAACATATACTTACATATCTTGCCATTCCCTGACTCCTTAATTTTTACTGTTCTCAATGCTCCAGGAAACTTCTCCCTGCATCAATTTGTCCCAGGTGAATAACTGCCAGACAACAGAGCTCTCCCTATCTTTAGGGTTTGCCTGCTTAACCTCCGTTTGGCACACAATTGTCAAGACAAGTCAATATGAGACATGATTAAGGAACAACCACTGCATCTGTGCAAAGGGAACATATGTTTCTACTTAAATATATAAATAAACAAATTCTATATATACATATGTCTTAGAGCTACTGTCTACACTGAAAAAGAAAACTAAAGATAGTCTCTACACTGATGAAGGCTCAGGATTATGAACCAGGATATATAAAGGAGGAAAGAAAGAGGCTGGAGTCTAGTTATTTTAGAACTTTTGACCTATTAGCATTAACAATTAAAAAAAAAAAAAAGAAAGAAACAGCTTTGCAAGTCTTTGCATAGTCATTCCTAGTCTTCCTCCCTTCTGAGCAAGATTTAGTACAGCTCCTAAAACTACTCATATTGTTCTCAAAAGTGTATTTAAAAAGTGTACATTAAGGATGATCAAAAGTGTAACTAATTTCTAATTGCCCAGAGCACTGGAAACTCTCTGGGCAGATTATAAAATGATAGTCTCAGGCCATTTTGGTTTCAATTGAATCTGCAAATTTATGGATGTGGACTGAAAACTCAACTGCAGAAACAGACTCTGCGCAGTCAATGTTGTTTGCTAAGTATTGGGAACACAAGGATCAAAGACGGAGCCCAAAAGAAGAAATAAGCCTGTGAGACCATGCAAGTTCTTGCCTTCTCTTTTAGCATTCAAGGAAGGTTTAGTTTTCTCCCCTAATCTATTTGTATAGAAGAGACTGCAGCAAAATGCTGGAAAGGTGACAGTAATATGAGAGGCAGGGCTGAGAAATTCAAAATTCTGCAATCTTCAAGAGAACTGCTCTCCCCACCTGTACACCTGAGCACATTAAGTGCATT